CCCCCCCCCCCCCCACCCACTCCAACAGGGCTGCTAACCCCTCGACCCCCATCATAGCGGTCGCCTATCCGCGCGCGATGCTCACCCCGGCTCAGCTTCTGTCGAGCGAGGGGTGGCGCGACTTCAACGAGATCCTTCCATTCCCCGTCAGCGCCGCCACGGTGCGCGGCCTCGCGACGCGGTACCTCCTCGCCCCGCCGGGGGTGGCGGCGGCGGCGGCGAGCTCGGGCATGGCGGGGGAACCCATCAGCTCCGGCCCTTCCACGGCGGCGGCGACGTTTGGGCAGCTAGGCCAGCACACCGCCGGGAGCGGGAGCTGCTGCGGCGGCACCTTGGTGCCGTCCCTTCCTGTTGCGGGTGGATCGGGGGAGGTTCCGCCGCCGCCGCAGCAGCAGCAGCAGCATCAGCAGCAGCAGGGGACTGGGGCGGCGTTGTCGCCCCACGGCGTGGCTTGGAGCTTGCTGCGAGATGCTGAGGAAGGCGTTCTTCTGCCGTCGCAGCCGTTGCTGAGCGTAACCAATCCATGCGCGAGGAGGTGAAACAACAACTCTTGCTTCGCGAAACCGCTAGGGTGACGCTGCAATGCACAGCGTATAGGTCACGTGTCACCCGCTTAATCGGCGGCGCAAAGAACGAAATACATTTTTCTCAGAATCGACCAAACATATATAGACCACGGCGTAGGACGGTATCGATAGGGAAACAGCAGAGAGCGGTGATCATCACACTTCACATGGCGGATTGGTTGTTCTGAAAGGAAGCGTTTGACAGTTTGGGAAGGTTGAGCGCCCTGTGTGTACCTCGGAGACTACTGGCGCTGCAACGGCGTTTACTAACGTGTGGGTCCTGTTTGTGTGGTGTCATCGCAAGTCCATGTACTTCCACGGGACAGGGGATGTACTTGTACGTGGTGTTGCTTACCATGAGCATTTGACCGTCGGCGCTCACCCCTTCCGAGACTGAGCACATGCAATTCATAAGAATATTCTGGTTTTGTTCGGTCCTCCTACATCCATTTCGCGTCCGTCTACTCGTCCACCCCCGAATATACCCATACCTCCCCCCCCCCCACGGGCCGCCGAACAAGGGCTCTTGAGGGGTTGGCTAGGCCCCGCGCCGCGATGACATCACCGTCGTCATCGTCACCCTCCACTCTTGAAGAGACTCTGGCGTCGCTGAAAAGGAGAGTTTTCGGCGGGAGCGAGGAGGACCGCGCATTGCCCTGCGGGCTGTTCGGGGAAGAGTTCGAGATGAAGAACGCCGAGATCGAGGACAGGTCTGGTCTAACTTTGGAAGCAGGGTTTGTTCCAGCGCCAACCAAGCCTACCGGATCCTCTCACCTTGTAGTGGTAGCTTGCTTCGCTCGAGGTAGAAGGCTACAGAACAAAACCCAGAGTGTGCTTGTGTGCTGGTTTATGTTTTTTGTCCTGCAGTGTACAGGTGTCATCATGGATGTTGGTTTGCAAAGAAGTATTGGAACAAGGATCGGGTGGTATCTTTGCGATAAGCCGGTCCTCCTCGCTCCTTCTGAGCGTCCACCTCGATGAGCGCTCTCTAAAAAAAGCTCACGGCCGATGGTTCTTCCGCACGCCCCGATCAAGAAGCCCCTCGGTGTTCGTTGTTTGACCTCCCTCACTCACGATCCCCTCACTCACTACCTCCTGTGTCGAAATGTTTCGGTGCTACTTTTGTCGGCGTTTCGAGCAGGGAGTACGACTTCGTGTTCAGGCACGGCACCATCCTGGTCAGGGTGGAAGAAGGCCTCAACGGGGAGGTTGTCCCGATGGTGGGCCTATTATGTTCCACCTTGCTCTCCGACTGGTGTATGTATCGTACTTACGAAGGTTTTATTTTTCTCCCCCACCAAGGTTCCCCCGGTGTTTACCATCGGGGTTGGGTTTTCGTCGCTTGGCAACGACGTTGTAAAACAAGCCGCCCCCCTCGGTGTTTGCCATCGGGATTGGGTTTTGTCGCTTGGCAACGACGTTGTAAAACAAGCCAATTCACTTCGTGAACTCGGCAACCAGGTTACCGTTTCTTTTTTTTCTCTTTTTTTTGGCGGTAACCATAATGGTGGTCGAGTAGATCATGTTGTGCGGGGTNGTTGGATTTTTGTCCCTTGGCAGCGATGATGTAGAACAAGCCGATCACTTCGTGATCTCGGCAACCAGGTTAGTTACCGTTTTTTTTTTTTACCTCTGTTTTTTTTTTGCGATAACCATGAATGGTGGTCGAGCATATATTGTTGTGCGGGGTCGAGAACACTCACTCTGCGCAAGGGGGATGATCGCACGTTGTGTTGAATTGGTCAAGCACCCTCGAGGCAGTTGCACCGCGCTTACAACTGTCTCTGGAAGTTAAGCACCAGAAAATAAATTAAGTCATATGCAGCTGTCATCCGTACACAAGGAAGTAAGCACAAGATGCCAACACCATTGTGCAGCGCACCCTTCATGCGACTCGCCGAATATCTCACGACGCTTCGCGCTTGGTGATGTGAGGGCCTAGCCCGGTGAGAACCCGGTGTGCTCCGTCCCGGCTTTGTAGGGATGCGAGGTCAACGGTCTAACGACTACGGCATGCACGACTA